CCCCCTCGGTCTCTTCGGCGTTGTTCAACCATTTGTCCAGAATTTCACGTTCAGAGTTGCTGCGTTCGCTTTCTTTCTTTCTTTCTTTACATTCATATCAGTCGATTGCCGCGGAGCCCAGAGGTGTTTCCCGCGAGGATACCATAGCCGTCTTGCCACAGGTGCGAGCTGGGCTGCGGCGCAATCATTCCCAGGTGTATCTGTCGTAAAACTGAACTCGTGTCCGCCTCGGCTACGCGCCAAGAGGAGGAGGAGGAGGATGAGGAGGACGAGGATGAGGAGGAGGAAGGGGAGGAGGAGGAGGAGGGGGGAGGAGGAGGAGGAGGAGACGGAGGAGGGATAATAGGAGGAGGAAAATGAGAAGGAGGATGGGGGAAGGAGGATGACGAGGGGTAAGGAAGAGGAGGAGGCGAATGATGATACTTAGAGAGGATGAGGGTGAGGATGAGGATGGGGATAGGGATGATAATGGTGATGCTGATAATAAGAATGATGATGATAGTGATGGTGCTGATGATGGTAATCATGACGACGACGATGCTGACGCTGTTGATCATGATGATGGTGATGATGACGGTGATGCTGATGTTGCTGCTGATGATGATGGTTCTGTTGGCGTTGGTAAATATAATGATGGTTGTGGTTTGGGTGAGGGTGATGATGATGATCATGATGCTGACGATGGTGATAATGAACACGACGATGAAGATAATGCTGATGCTGATGCTGATGATGATGACGCTGATGATGAAGAGGTGATGGAGGAAGAGGAGGAGGAAGAGGAAGAGGATCCGGGGACGAGACGAGGACGAAGATAAGAAGAAGGAGGAAGAGGAGGAGGATGACGATGAGGAGGATGATGATGCTGATGATGATGCTGCTGTTGATGATGATGCTGCTGATGATGCTGATGGTGGTGATGATGATGCTGATGCTGATGATGTTGACGCTGACGCTGATGATGCTGATGATGATGCTCATGCTGATGACGACGATGATGATGATGACGATGACGATGACGATGACGATGATGATGATGATGATGATGATGATGATGATGATGATGATGATGATGATGATAATGATGATATGATGATGATGATGATGATGATGATGATGATGATGATGATGATGATGATGATGATGATGATGATGATGATGATGATGATGATGATGATGATGACGGCCTTCCCGCTGTGGCGCGCGCCCGCGCGCCGCGGCGAGGTGCTTCCGCAGCGACGCCACAGTTGAGGCGCGCCGCCTTCGTCTCTGAACGCTGTGTGCGCGGGCGGTACGGCGGAACCGTCGAGTAGCAGGAGGAGGAGGAGGAGGAGGAGGAGGAGGAGGAGGAGGAGGGCAAGCTGGGCGCGCTCGCGTCATATCTGACGCCCTACCCCTCCCTCTCATCCTTTTTACCATGGGGTGAACCACTACCCGCACAGTCGGATGTCGCAGCATGGCATAGTATTACATAGCATAGCATGGTGTTGACGAGCAACGCAGAGCATGACATAGCACGGCGTGGCGGCGCCCCAAAGTGGGGGGGGCTTCTGCGGCCCAGGAAACCAACGAATCGGCACCGAATGTGCAATCACTTCCGATTGTTTTTTCGGGGGGCCATGTTGTAGATTTTTGGGCTTCTTTGGAAGGACCGTGGCATGGCACGGGAAATAATGACGCCAGCGCTGCAGCGGGAGCACGAATCGGAACGAGCGGAAGCGCGGAAATGAGGCCAGCGCTACAGCGGGAACACGATTTGGAACGAGCGGAAGCGCGGAAATGAGGCCAGCGCTGCAGTGGGAACACGATTCGGAGCGAGCGGAAACCCGAACATGTGGCCAGCGTTTTAGGGGGAACAACATTCTGAAACAAACCCAAGCGAACACCCAATTCGCGGGAATCCTGCGTGTAAGCAGCCGTACGCGGAGGGGGGCCTGACATCTTCCGGACGTCGTCAGGGGAGAGATGTGAGTAGCATTCATGCTGTGTAATTGTGGAGGAGGGGGAGGAGGAAGAGGAGGGGGAGGAGGAGGAGGAGGAGGAGGAGGAGGAGGAAGAGGAGGGGGAGTAGGAGGAGGAGGAGGAGGAGGAGGAGGAGGAGGAGGAGGAGGAGGAAGAGGAGGACCTCTTCCCCATCCGCCTCTCCTCGCCCTGCTTCCCATCGTGCTCATCGTTCTCCGCGTCCTCCTCTGTGCCCATCTTGGCCCAACGCCGCATCGCTGGGCAGCGGCCGCGCCGCGTTCGCTGCGGAGCAACGCGTGGTAAGCTCACGCAGCCAGCCAACCAGCCGCCGCGAGGCCGAAGAAGCTGCCAGTGGGGCGTTGATGGCGGCGCACGCGGCGACGGTGCTCGCGGCTGGGCACTCCCAGTCGGGGTTGCGCCTGCTGCGAGCCGCCCAGAGCATGCTGCGCGCTCAGTGGCGAGCTTGCGGGGCTCCGCCACCCAGGCGCCCGCGCCTGCGCCTGACGCTGCGCCTCCCCCGAGGCGGCGGCGGCGAGGGCTAGGTGGCCGCGGAACTGCCCCTGCGGGCCGCGGCGCGCCTGGCGCAGCGGCCGCGGAGGCAAGCGCCCACCCTGGAGAGAGACTGGCCGCGCCCATGGCGGTGGATGTGGCAGGCGACGGCCGCGGGCCGAGGTGGCGGCGCCGCCGCCCGTTCCTTGCGCCTGCCGCAGCACGGCATGGCGCTGCTGCTGGTCTTCCCCTCGCGGTGCTGTGCGCTACGCAGGAGGAGGAACTGGACGACGATGGCTCCGCGGCGGCTGGCGACGCGGCGAAGCCCTCCGACGCGGATGCCCGCGTGGCGATCGCGCCCGAGAGCGGACTCTCGTGCGAGCATGCCGCCGCCCTGGCCGAGGCCGCAATGGCCCAGCGGGATCCTTATCTCGCTGGCTGAGCACCGACTGGCAGGGCTTCTCGTGAGGGAGCCGTTCGACGCCGGGGCGGCGGCTGCGGCGGCGTCCGGAACAGCGGGGTGAGGGCGATAATGCCCGATCGGGCCATCCTCTCCCTCAAATCCCTTTTAGGTTTCCTCGTTTCTCTAAGCCCGACGGCACGGTCGGGGACGTGGTACCGCAGGTGGTGACCAGGTCCCCGCGGTCGCGCCCGTTCGGCGGCCGCGCTTAGACTTGCGAAACTCTGCCCCTTCAGGGATGTCTTACCTACCTATCTCCTCCTCTTCCTCCTCCTCTTCGCGGGGGCACGAGCAGGAGCGGGAGGAGGTGGAGGGGCAACAGCATTTGAGGGTGAAACAGGTGGTCGGCAATGATGGTGATGATTACGATGATGATGGTATTGATTCTGGTTGTGATGAGACGGCGAGAATGACGGTTCTGAGGGTGGTGCTGATGTTTGTGACGAGGAGCAGAGAAGGAGGAAGAGGAGGCAGAGGAAGAGGGGGAGGAGGAGGAGGCGGAGGAAGAGGCGGAGGCAGAGGCGAAGGCGGAGGCGGCGGCGGACGTGGAGGAGGAGGAGGGGGGGGAGGAGGAGGACGAATAATCAAATGATTGATACCAATAATGATATCAAAACGGATGTTGCGACTAATAATCATACTGCTACGCCTTATAGTAGGATATTGCGAACAGGACTAATACTCATACTATAACTAACAAGCTTTTAACCACTAGGTACCACGAATAATAGGACAAAGCCTAATAATACCATTAATACATACATGAACAATGCGAGTTCAAAGGCTGACACTAAGCAGAGCAACCATACTAATACTACTGAGCAGGATAAGAAGACGAATGCGAGTGCGAACAGTATTAAGAGGAACCGTATGAGGACATACGTATACTACGAACAATAAGCAACTAATACTAGGAAGCCGAATGCTACCCACCAGACTTGTGTTGCTATCATGGACAGTACTAAGCAGACTACGAGTACAAGAGTTATATCACGTATAATAAGGATAAGCAAACGTGATCATACAACACGTATGAAACACAATAGTACGATTATCAATCATTATACTTATGATTGTAATACTGGCTCTTTAAGTGTACCACCGAGAATAATAACACGGTAACGAATAATATTCATAACGATATTCGTAGTAGTACGAGAAACAAGAAGACGGATATGCATGTCAAGGAACAGTGTACGAATACGAATAAGACTGCGAACAGTGATGAAACCACGGATGCTAAGAGTACTATTCATAATACTAAGAAGACTGAGAATATTGACTACAATGCTAATCATATTAATAGCACTGCTAAGCATAATACTAGTATGTTCATGGTCATGCTAACGATAATAGTCGTACGAGTAGTAGTAATAATAACAGGAGGAGGCGGAGGAGGCGGAGGAGGAGGCGGAGGAGGAGGCGGAAGGGGAGCAGGGGGAGGAGGGGGAGGAGGACGAAGAGGAGGAGGAGGGGGTGGAGGAGGAGGAGGAGGAAGAGAGAGGAGGAGGAGGAGGAGGAGGAGGAGAGGCGGAGGAGGAGGCGGAAGGGGAGCAGGGGAGGAGGGGGAGGAGGACGAAGAGGAGGAGGAGGGGGTGGAGGAGGAGGAGGAGGAAGAGGAGAAGGAGGAAGAGGAGGAGGAAGAGGAACTTATCTCTTCATGCTCTTCATCATCCCCGTCGACCTCATCGGTCGCCATCGTCATCGTCCCGGTCATTGTCGTCGATGCCCGTGGGGAGGAGGGCGCGCCCTCCATCCCCCCAAGGGTTCGTAGAGGGGGGCGTCCTCGCAGGGTGGGGCCAAGGAGTGGGCCCAGCTGCACCCTCCGGGTCCCTTCGCCCAGGAGCGGTTTAGAGCGATACCCTTCGGACCCCCTTTATTGCCTACGCCACCTCTGCTCAGGGAAACGCAAGCGCAGTTCCGTCGCCAACTTCGGCGGCATTGACCTCATGTCTTGGGCGGTTACCTTCCCCGTTCCCCCGATCCGTGGATCTGGCGCCCACGCGCCAGATCCATAGATCCGTGGTCCATGTTGACAGCGTGCGCCTGATCTGCGCCTTCCCTCCCCCCCCTCCCCCCCCCGCGAAAGCGCCGAGGCCGCGTCGCTCCAGGCCGCGGCGGAGGCGGCGGTGGCCGAGTGCAGGCTGCCCCCGCCGCCGCAGCTGCCGCGGCTGGGCGAGGAGCCGCCGCGCCCGTTGCCGAGCGGCTCTCCTCGTCCTCCTCGTCCTCGTGGTCCTCCTCCTCCTCGCCCTGTTCTTCGTCTTCCTCATCCGCCTCGTTCTCCTCCCCGTCCTCCGTAGCCTTAAGTCGGGCGTGTCCCCCTGTAGGGGGACACGCCCGACAGAACCGTAGCCATGTCTGGCTCAAGTAAATCACTTCTTCAAGGCAGCTGGCCATGACAGCTATTTGGGTCGCGCGCGCGGAGTTGTCCCGCAGGTTCCTGCCAAGCCATGGCTTTTCCTATACCCTTTCCCTTTCGACACTGCGTGGGGCGAGGTTGGCATTTTGCTACTGAAAGTTCGGTTTCCGGTTCCTTTTTTTACCGCGTAATCTACGCTCATGGCGGCAGCTGCCCCTCCATCTGCGAGCAGCCAGTGGTTGTTTTCGAAGCTTGGACAAATGGGATGAAAGGCATGAGGGCCGACGTCGCAGACGTCAAGAAGCGTCTCCGTGTTGCCGAGGAGCTAGATGACAAGACCACTGACTTGAATAGGTCCATGGAGGCAAGCTTCGCAAAGGCCGCCGCCACCCAGAAAGAGATGTCTGCCGTTTTCGACCTTTGTATATCGGTGCTGGAGCAGGACAAATTCGAGGATGAATTGTTCAAAGCTGATGGGGGGCACGCGTCCGCCCTGGGCGTTCAACCGTCGGCATTGGATACACAAACGCAAGCGAAGATCAATGGCCCGGAGGAGTCACTTCGCGAGCCTTCCAGCCCTCCACCGGTGGCCGCTTCCACGGGCGCGCCGCTACCAAGTCGAGGAGGACTACGCCTGGATCGTCGCCTGGCCCGCTCGAGGCCCCCGTCGTCGATCTCTCACGTGGCGAGGTTGACGAAGCGCGCCGGTGGATCAGTGGATTCCCTCGCCCCGTCACTGAGCCTCATCGCCGCGCCGTTTTCGACCAGCTGAAGCAGAGGATCCCGGCCCTCCTGGGCGCCGTCATGACTGGCCGCCTCGCAAAGTTCCACAAACTTCCCCAGTCTCCTTCGGCAGTGGGGCCCACGCCAGGGAGTTCCACGCCTTGTTCATCGCCAGCCCTGTTCAGTGGCCCGACTATCGTAACCGGTCTGTTCATGTACTGCGTTGTCGCCGTGACATGCCGCTGGCAGCCCGCCAGAATAATCGCGTGTTCAGCGCTCTGTGTCCGTATCGCGAGCACCTCGAGAATGAGAAGCTCTGGAACGCCGACGTGAAGTTCCGCATTGACCCGTTCAAAGGAGCGATCAGCACCGCGACGGCGAACGACCGCTGGGTGTTGTTCAAGCTCTGCGAGGCGCCGCAGGGCCAGCGCGAGTTGAAGCCCATCCAGTCGCAGCTCGACGAGTGGGAGATAACGCCCACCATCGCCAACTGGACGATCGGGGCCGCGCAGGGCCCCTTTCCGAGGCGGCTGCTTTCTGAGGGGCCGCTTGCTTGGCATCGCGTGACGAGAGCCATCCCCTTTTGTTCTCCGCCCCTCCTCCGCCCTCGGCTCTCGCGGCGTCTGTTTCTGGCTCATCGCTTCTGCCCCAGGTGTCTAACCTTTTAGTTTAAATTCGCCTGGGGGCCAGCCGCCCTCGCCGCGGGGCCCCAGCGGGCCCCCGCTGCATTCTCCGGCCCCCTCTCCCACGGCCGTGACATGAGACGAGCGACTTGGCCTTGTCGCGCGCTGCTCGGTGCCGTTGCTGGGGATCCTGACGTTCAACGGGAAACCTCGGGCCGTGCCCTTCAACTAACCAGAGCGAGCGCTGTTGGATGTCTTCAAGGAACCCACGGCCATGAAGGTGACGGCGAATCGTCGCGCGCCGAGTTCCCGTCTTTCGAGGCGCGTTGCTTTGCTTGCTCTGAGGTGAATTCTGGAGGCGTTGCTGTCTCGGTCGCGAGGTCCTCGCTGGCCCAGCTCGCTGGCCCAGCTCGCCCATTGCGGGCTTGCTTTTCGCTCTCGCTCTGAAGTCTGATTCGTTCCAGCTTGCCATTCAATTTGCATCTCGACCCTGCCCCTCGCCGGCGCGAGAAGATAGACGCGCTGACTCAGCGCCGCGAGTTTCTTCGGGCGCTCCAGGGGGTCTTTCCCCCTGTCGGGGACTTTGACTAATGCGAGCATGGGGGGGGGGGGGGGGGGGGGTCGAAGGGTTGACGGGGCCATCAATCAGAACTTCGCCCGATGCTCTGGCCCCCAGGTTCTGGGCCCCCGCGCCTCGGACCACGGAGTGCGTTCAGGGGGCCCCGTCCCGCCGCCCCACCAGGGGTGGGCAGGTCACTTGTGTTTCCAGGCTCGATCGGCTATGCACCCAAACGTTTACAAGTGATCTCTTGGACTTGAAGCCAACGTCGGGGGCGGCCTGGAAGGCGTTCTTGGCCGACTTGCCATGCGATCGTGCTCCCGTTGATCTTCGTCTCAATGGGGGGGCTCCGGGGGCGCCAAGGCGCCTTCCTGGGTATCCGAGCACCCATTGTGCCCGATAGTTCGACGGGCTGATTGTGGCGCGCGCGATGCGAATGCCCCGTTGACGGTCCAGGAGCTCGCCTGTATGATGCTCGAAGCCGGGCGCCTTGGCCAGCGCGGGTTGCCCGAGCTGCCGCCAGGCTCTCCGGGGCAGCGCCCGCGGTGTCTCTTCGCTGTCAACCGCGCCGCGCGCTCGCGCACCCCTCGGGCTGCGAAGAAGGCTGCGAAGGCCATTCCTCGGCTGCTCGAGTTTTTTGACCCAGATGCATGTCGGTGGCGCGATGGGCGAGCTCGTCGCGAACGCATGTCGCAGATAACCGCAGCGCGTTACCAGTCCGAGTATAATGCAGTTATAGGACACGCAGAAGCACCCCCCCATAATACCTTGAGCACTGCGCACTACGTCTCCAACGCATGGCATCAGCATGGCCCCATAGAAATCGCAGAGTGTTTCTGACAGGCATCGCGGACGCCGATGGCGATGCCATATCGCCTGCTGCCGCTGGGGCCCGTGCTCTCGCTGCCTGCCGGGGCGCTGCTCGCGCCGCTGTTCCTTGTCGGCCTGCAACGCGCGACCAGCCCGTGCTCCCGCGCGGCGTGGCTGGAGGATATCGGGGGGCAGTTCTTATCGAATCCTAGACCGACTTCGGGGCTCCGCGGCTGGCCCTGATTGGCTATGCTACTCAGCCTCGGCCCAGGAGGGCCGTTCTGTCAGGTGGGCCGCCTTTCGGATGCACGAGCGCGGTCTGGATTTCGGCCAGGCCCCTGGAGGTTTCACCGCTGGCATTTCCGTGTTCCTGCCCGAGGTTTCCATGGATAAGGGTGGGCCAGAGCCCTGGAGGGCGCCTGAGACCACCGGCCCGATCTCTCCACCGAGCCCCGCCAACAAGATCGTCGCTGTCGCGACCGACTGCCGCCTGAAGATGCTCTGCGTGGGCGCCGCCCTGGAGATTCAGAGAGGCTTCGTCAAGGGCCGAAACATGATGGGCAATTTGATCGAGTTCAAGACTCGCGCGGTCGTCGGGGCAGGGGCCCAGCGGAGGGTCACCGCTGGCGCGACCCTGCTCGACGTGAAGGCCGCGTTTCCCAGCTTATGCCGCGAGTGGATTTCTTGCTTTTTGAATTAGATGCAGCTGCTCCCGCTCGTGGCGCAGGCCATCGAGACTCTCTGCGATAACGTTCGGACTGCCATCGCCCTGCGGGGGCAAGCTCAATTTTTTAAGGCTTGGCGTTAGCCCTTGGGGTGGACCCTATCATGCGAGTCCTTTGCGCGAGGCCCCCTCGACCCTCCCATCTGCGTTTTGCTTTTGCCGGCGATGTAGGGTGCGCCTGCTTTAACCTGCGCGCGATGCTGCCCATCTTCGCGCGCGCGTTCCTGCTCGACGCGTCCACTGCTGGTATGTTCCCAAGCCTGCAGATAACAGCCATTTTGTTTTATCGCGATTTCGACAGAGGGGGCGATCTTCAGAATTTGCAAGAAGTCCGTGCCAACGTTTCGGAGTCCAGTGCGGCGTGAAGTCGCAAGAAGAAGCGCGCGCCGGCCTTAATTTGAAGTTCAGAGAGCGTTGCCGTTTCATCAAGTCGCTTAAGTTGGGTCTCGCGCTCTCAGTGAAATTACACGCTGCGCAACTTATCCGCGGCTGGGAATCATCAGTATGTCTGCTAGATGTTTGAAGCGCGCAGCGACGGCCGCTGCGCACCGCGCTGTGCTCGCGCCGTCGGTGTTCTTCGCCTTCGTTCAGAAGCTTGAGGACGCCCTTGACGATAGGGAAGCCCATATCGATTCTGAGCTTCATCCTGTTTTTCGCAAGTCGTTTGTTGTCATGATGCACCAGAACCACCAAGAACTGTCAATGATCCCTCCAGCTCCTAGACTGTTGAACCTGGGCTTCAGAAAGCCATGACCACAATCGTCCAGGGCCAGTTTCCCTTCAGGAGTTTGCAGGACCTCTTGTACGATCGGATTTGTTCCCCACATCCTGAGTGGGGTTCTTGTTTTCCCAGAACATCCGCCCCTTCTCCCTCCCGCCTCCCATATGACTACCATGCCTACCATTCCAGCCTCCCATATCATACCATGCCTACCATTCCATACCATACCAGACCTAACATACCATACCATACCATACCATACCATACCATACCATACATACCACACACTACCAAGCAATACCATACCATACCATACCTACCATGCCATACCACACCATACCATACCATACATGCCACAACATACCGAACAATACCATACCATGCCAACCATATTATATAGCATACGTACCATACCATACCATACCATACCATACCATGGCATACCATACCATACCATACCATACCATACCATACCATACCCACCATACAATACCATACCATATCTACCATACCTACCATACGATACAATACCATACCACACATACCATACAATACCATACCAACCTACCCATACAATACCATACCATACATACCTTGCCATACCATACCCGCAAGAGCGAGCAGGGTATCGGAATACCACACTATTTACTAGGTTTCGTGCCCCTTCCCGCCCCTCCAGGGAGGCCCCGCCTCGGCGAGGAGGGTATCGGAAACCCGTACTATTTACATGGTTTCGTGCCCCTCCCTCCCCTCCAGGGAGGCCCCGCCCGAGCGAGGAGGGTATCGGAAACCCATACTATTTACATGGTGTCGTGCCCTTCCCACCTCTCCAGGGAGGCCCCGCCTGAGCGAGGAGTGTACCGGAAACCCATACCATTTAGATTGTTTCGTGCCCCTCCCACCCCTCCAGGGAGGCCCCGCCTGAGCGAGGAGGGTGTCGAACACTGATACTATTTACATGGTTTCGTGCCCCTCCCACCCCTCTGGGGAGGCCCCGCCTGAGCGAGGAGGGTATCGGAAACCCATACTATTTACATGGTTTCGTGCCCCTCCCACCCCTCCAGGGAGGCCCCGCCTGAGCGAGGAGGGTATCGGAAACCCATACTATTTACATTGAGTGGAGGTTTCGTGCCCCTCCCACCCCTCCAGGGAGGCCCCGCCTGAGCGAGGAGGGTATCGGAAACCCATACTATTTACATGGTTTCGTGCCCTTCCCACCTCTCCAGGGAGGCCCCGCCCGAGCGAGGAGGGTATCGGAAACCAATACTATTTACATGGTTTCGTGCTCCTCCCACCCCTCCAGGGGGGGCCTGCCTGAGCGAGAAGGGTATCGGAAACTCGTACTATTTACATTGTTTCGTGCCCTTCCCACCTCTCCAGGGAGGCCCCGCCTGAGCGAGGAGGGTATCGGAAACCCATACTATTTACATGGTTTCGTGCTCCTCCCACCCCTCCAGGGAGGCCCCGCCTGAGCGAGGAGGGTATCGGAAACCTATACTATTTACATGGTTTCGTGCTCCTCCCACCCCTCCAGGGAGGCCCCGCCTGAGCGAGGAGGGTATCGGAAACCCATACTATTTACATGGTGTCGTGCCCTTCCCACCTTTCCAGGGAGGCCCCGCCTGAGCGAGGAGGGTATAACCCATACTATTTACATGGTTTCGTGCTCCTCCCACTCCTCCAGGGGGGCCCCGCCTGAGCGAGGAGGGTATCGGAAACCTATACTATTTACATGGTTTCGTGCTCCTCCCACCCCTCCAGGGAGGCCCCGCCTGAGCGAGGAGGGTATCGGAAACCCATACTATTTACATGGTGTCGTGCCCTTCCCACCTTTCCAGGGAGGCCCCGCCTGAGCGAGGAGGGTATAACCCAAACTATTTACATGGTTTCGTGCCCCTCCCACCCCTCCAGGGAGGCCCCGCCTGAGCGAGGAGGCCCCGCCTGAGCGAGGACTTAATCGTTCGATGAGCTTCTCCTTCGTGTTGATGTTGTCGTACCCCATGGGTCCCACGAAACCGTTAATGTCTTCATGTGGGGAACTCCGTTACCATAATTTTTGGCACGAATTTTGTTGTGATGAGCTTGGGGATCTCTCGCCGTCCTGAGGCACGCTCTATTTCGTTCGTTTCGGGTGGGTTGGTCATGACGTTCCTCCCCATCATCCAGTTGAGGTTGTTTCTGCGTAGTATTTGTAGCGCGTGGAATGCCTCTCGGATTTACCGTCACCCTACTTTTGGGTGCAGGTTTGGGTGTCAATGTATGTGGGGAGATCAACTGTACCACTATATACTATATTCAATGCCCTGTTCTTCTCGAAATGATGCGCTCTTGCTTGTCTAGTCTCTCTGCCCTCTGGGGGGTGGAGGTTTTTGCTGGTCTCCTTCTCCGTTATCAGCCTCTCGGAAAGCATGAGTTTTGCAGCATAGCTGCTGCACGCGATATATGATTAAACACGTTTGATTAACTTCGCTCTGCAGGGATTCATAGCTTTGCCCGCGCCCGCCAGCTCGCCAAAGGCAGGCTGAGGTTGATTTGCCAGCGGGATTCCGGGGCAAGGGCCTTGGCGCGGTAGCCAGCCTCCAGACCCGCGCAGCTGGGCCAGCAGGAGAACTCGACCTTCCAGGTGGGAGCCCGCCTCGTCCCTCGTCCTCCTCCTCCTCCTTCTCTTCCTCCTCCTCCCCCTCCTCCTCCCCCTCCTCCTCCTCCTCCCCCTTCCTCCTCCTCCTCCTCCTCGTCCTCCTCCTCGTTTCCTCCTCGTTTGCCCCCCGTCCTCCTCCGCAGGGCCCCTCTTGTTTTTTGTGCCCATGGTGGGCCTCCTTGGGGGCCTCGCGGCCGCGACTGGGCGCGGCAGCTCGAGAAACTGGCCGGGGTGGGGTCCGAGAGGGGTCCAGGGATCACTTTTTAGAGGGAGCGTCTTGTTCGTCCTGCCTCGTCCTTCCCTGACATTCTCGCGTCGCGAAGGGATCGCGACGGGATTGGGCCCCTTTGGGAGCTCTCCAGGGCCGTTTCGAATCCACGCTGATGCCTCAGAAGCCCGTCGGAAACGAAGAGGTAAGAGGGCAAACCAGTTTGATGTTGCGTAGGTTTTGGGACGATCCGGGCCCTTCGAGGGTTCCGTGCAAGAGGCAGAGAAACAGGCATGCATACATACATGCACACACATACATACATAAACACATACACACATACATGCATGCATACATATATACACACAGCATTACGTTCAGACGTGCATACCTGCATGCATGCATTTATGTATTCATACACACATGCATGCATGCATGCAGGCATACCTGGTTGCATGCATGCATATATGCATACGTGTATACATGCATACACGCATACATATATGCATGCATACATGCATACACTCATACATGCATACATCTGCACATCCATACACACATACAACCATACACACACATACATACACGTTTCCCTACGCACATACATGCATATATACATACACACATACCAACATACATCCATACATGCATACATACATTAATGCATGCATGCCTGCATGCATACATACAGGCATGCATGTATGCATGCCTACATGCCTACATGCATACATGTATGAACGTATACATGCATGCATTTTTGTATACATGCATACATGTATACATGCATACATGCATACATGCATGCATGACTACATGCATACATGCATGAATGTATGCATGCACGCATACACGCATACGTATACACACACGTACACGCATACATACATACATACATACATACATACATGCATGCATTCATACATACATCCACACATACATATATACATACATACGCACATGCATAGCATAGCATAGCATAGCATAGCATAGCATAGCATAGCACATCAAAGCGTACACACATACGTACATACATATATATACACATATGCATGCATGCATGCATGCATGCATGCATACATACATACGCACACACATACATGAACATACACACATGCATGCATGCATGCATGCATGCATGCATGCATGCATACATACAAACCTATGCGTGTATACATACGCAAACGCTATACATCGAAATGGAAAGGAGGAGTCTTAGATAGGGGGTAGCGAAGAACCGTTGTACCACTTGCGCCTGTTGGGCTTGCGGGATTCTAGGTTTGGACGAGGCGGGGCAAGCTCTCTGCGATGAGGGTCCTGCGCCCATGATTGCTGTGCCGCGAGCCCATCCTTCCTCTGGCCTCCTTCCTCCACTTCGCTTCGCCCCGCCCCGCCCCTGCTCCACCCGCCCTCGCGACACCGCGCCCTGCCCGCAGTCTGCTCCGCTGCCGGTCCGAGTGCTCCTCGCCGCGGAAGGGCCGAAGGCACTGCCTTGCAGCCCCCTGGTCCGGAGGAGGAGGAGGAGGAGGAGGAGGAGGAGGAGGAGGAGGAGGAGGAGGAGGAGGAGGAGGAGGAGGAGGAGGAGGAGTAAGGGGAGGAGGAGGAGGATGAGGATGAGGAGGAGGACGAGGAGGTGGGGGAGGAGGAGGAGGAGAAAGAGGAGGAGGAGGAGGAGGAGGGCCGAATCCTGATATGTTATTTGATGATCCTGGGGCCCGGCGGCGCGAGTCTGCAGCGGCGGCGCGGCCGCGGATGCCAGCTGCTTGCGCCAGCGCCGCTCGCTTGCCCTCGGACGTCGCCACCAAGCGCAGCTGTCGTCGTCGGTCGTCGCCGCCTCCTCCTCCTCCTCCTCCCCTCCTCCTCCTCCTCCTCCTCCTCCTGCCCCTCCTCCTCCTCCTCCTCCTCCTCCTCCTCCTCCTCCTCCTCCTCCTCCTCCTCCTCCTCCTCCCCTCGGCGCGCGCCGCCAAGCCGTCGCCCCCCCCCCCCCCCCCTCGCCCCCACTTTGCTGCGGGAGGAGGACCTGTCGCCGCAGGAGCTCGCCACCATCGAGGCCTTTCGTGCCGACCCTGCGCGCCGCCGAGTGCCGCCGCTGCTCTCGCGCGCCCTCTCACATCCAGTGCCCTCATCGACGGGGCCGTCGCGGATATCGGGAGATTGTGATTGCAGTTTCGGGCCCATCTCAGTGGGCGGCGGGGTGCCCAGTCTTGCGGTGTTGGGTCACTTTGCTGTGCGGTGTTGTGAGGGTCTGGCGAAAGCGCGTCATGTATTCCTTGGGCGGCTGGGTGCCTTCCCAGCCTGGGTTCTCGGTGCACGTTTCTTGCCAATTCCAGTGAGCGGCTGGGTTCCCGTGTCTCAGAGCAGAGAGTAGAGAACGTAGGGGGGGAGAGAGAACGAGAGAGAGAGAGAGCGCGCGTGAGAGAGAGGGATCATGCGAAAGAGAGAGAGAGAGAGAGCGACATAGAAACATATCAAGGCGAGAGAAAGAAGGAGAGAGAGGCATATATCTATATGTAAATATACAGAGAGAGAGAGAGAGCGCTTGAAAGGACGGCGCGCATGCATGCCACCTCGTCAAAAGGATTGCTGGGAGGGGGATGTTCTTATGCGCGCTCGCGATGCCCCCAGCCTGCTTCGGCTGCGCCCGAGAGCGAGCTCCGCCCTCGTCTCTTCCCCCACGTCGCTCCCTTGCGGGGCACGCTTGGCGCTTCAGGTGCGAATCGAGCAGCG